ACCATTGAAGTTCGATAAGACTTTTCGCATAGCGTGTATTTTCAGCGAGGACCGAAGCCTGAACGTAGGCTGCGACGATCACGAAGAGAAGTTCCCTAAACAACTGAAACGCTGCATAGAGTTAGCCTAGGTAGTAACACCAAGGAGAGCCAAAGGAACAATCTCAGGAGAGACAAAGAGGTTACTGGCGAAGTGGATGAGTGTGAAGAGAGATGAGACCAACATGGTGGAATGCTCTGTTCTGAGCCGGCTCTTTACATGAATTGTGAACCAGAGCTTCGAGACCTTCAAATTGTAAAAATTGGAGAAAGCTGCTGAAAACCACGGAAGCTTCAGACAGTGCATAAGCGAGTTAGCGTTTTATCGGCCGTCCATCATGGTATTGAAGCACAGGGATGACGCAATAACATTTGACACATTTGAGATTCTGCCCATTTGTAAGGAAGTTTACACCCAGTTCTCTGAGATAAGGCTCCCCCCCCGTGAAACACACACCGTTACTCCAACAGCCAGAAGGAAGTACAGTCTAAAGAACTCACTTTCAGCTGATGCATATATGCAAAACATACAATAACGGTAAACTATCGCTTACGCAACATCCTTCAGAATTGACTTTCGCATTCGATCCTCAACCAGACGGAAGTGTACGCCCGTTCCACGTGAGCGAAGTTCGACATGCCGTGAAGCCAATGAAGGAAGGACGATCCCCAAGGAGGGAACGATTTAACATTTGAAAAAAATCAGAACAGGTTGCCAGACCCGGTAGACGGCTCTAGCGGAAGGGTTCAGTTGCCACGTGGAAACAAAACCGATGCCATCAAGTTGGAAGGGTAAAGAAGGATTCAGGAAACAGGATTCCGAAGGATCTATGGCACAACAGAAAATATCGTAACTTTAAATCAACTCTTTGGCTTCGCGAAAATACGAGCGCCCTCTGTGCATAAACTTCGCCGAAACGAAAAAGCGTTCGGCACTGTTGAGGAAAACAGAGTGTGAACTGCACTGGCATAACAGACATCGGCACCATTTTTTATCAACCTGTTGATGGAAGTGAACTCTGGCTACTTCACAGACAACACGCTGTTGGATGCCCCGTCGGAATCCAGTAAAGAGGAACCTCAAACAAGGAGGTATCATTTTCCCTGAACCATTCACTGCTTTTTAGAAGTGAAACGTTGGAAGATAAATTGAAGGCATAGGATTAGCATCAGCGGTGGGCTTCTGAACCACTAACGGCTGGCTGATGACATGGGACTCTTTGCAGAGCCTTCTAGTCAGATTGAAGACACGCTGCAAGAGTTCGACAGAAAAAAATTCAGAAGTGGGCTTGTGAATTAATCGTTCGACGAAGATACAGCCAAAAGGTCGGTTACCAAGAAGTGCCGAAAGTCAACGTGTTATTGAACAGTGAGAAGACCGGGCAAAGAAGTCGATAGGCACATTTATCTGGGCCAAGAAATCAACATACTGCATGATCATGCTGAACAAATTGAACGGCGAAAGAGGGCTGGCTGTCGCTCATTTCTTTCCCCTGAGGCTGTCCTTCAAAACAACCTCCTTAAAGACGTTCGTTTCATCATCTTCAGTTCTCCGTCCTGCCGTCGATGACGGTATGACGGCGAGAATTGGTTACTCACAAAAATCTAAGGGTGCCAGTTTTCTGTGGGGAAGGAGTTATGAATAAAAAAATGTTGCGAGTCTCAGTCGTGAGCACATTCCACTCGGGGCTATCAGAC